AAAGAAAAGAAAGAAAGAAAGAAAGAAAGAAAGAAAGAAAGAAAGAAAGAAAGAAAGAAAGAAAGAAAGAAAGAAGAAATTTGGAAATGTACGACAGCCCAAGCAGAGATGGGCTGTGGATTTGGACCCTGCTCCCCACACATTCAGAAAACTCACCAGACAACGGGCGCCCCGTGGGGTAGAAAGGAAGGACTGGGGGCCCCACGGATGGGGTCGGGACCCCCTGAGGGCTCTCCCCTCCTCCCCACAGAACCTGGGGAGACCCTGGCTGCGGACGCGGGGCTGCCCAGCGAGGCCACCGGGCCAGGGCGGGCCAGGGCGCCCGGGGATTCCGCGGCCAGCCCCGTCCGTGTCCGGGGCAGGAGGGGACCAACGGCCGAGCTGCGCCGGGGCCAGCAAAGGACTCGGGGCCGCAGTATCGGGAGTGGACCGGGAAGCCGGGTCCGCGCTGTCGGGTTCCGGAGCCCCTGGCTCCCCCTCTCAGTACCCCGACCTCACACTCACCATTTCCCAGCGTCCAGGTGACCTCGCGTCCTTCCTAGGGTCCCCTTGCACGGTCTGTGCACACCGCAGAGGCTCGGAGGAGCCACAGAGACGACGTGAGCTCCACTCGGGTAAAAACAAATCCCGCCAAGCACCGCAGGGAAGCTCTCAGGAAGTCCCCCTAGAACTCACCGTAACCGCCTCCGACCAGAAACTAGACCGGAAGGACCAGCTCCCGGAGCCCCGCCCTTCAGCTCTTGATGGGCACTTTAGGCCCCGCATTCCAGCCCCTGATGGGCACATCAGGCCCCGCCCTCCAGCCCCTGATGGGCACTTCAGGCCCCGCCCTCCAGCCCCTGATAGGCACATCAGGCCCCGCCCTCCAGCCCCTGATGGGCACTTGAGGCCCCGCCCCCTGGCGCCTGAATGACAGCAGCTTTGAAAGCCCAGTCCTGGCCTGGGCGACTTCTGTCCTGCTCTTGGGCCTGGCCGCTACGGGAGGGTATTTTTACATTTCAGCAGAACCTGCTCCTGAGTTTCCAGAGCAGACACTCCACCGTTTTCCTGCACCCAATAGAATCTTGTTGGTTTTTCCTTCTGGACATGGGGTTCACAGTGAGCTCAGGGGATTCCAGATTCTATGTCCAAGGGGCCGATCCTCTAACTTCAAAGCAGTAGGGGCACCCAGGATAGGCCACATTTGAATGGGAGGAGGAGACACATGTCCTTCAGGGCTCATTAACTTTTTTTTAAAGATTTATTTATTCATCCATTTTAATCTAACCAGATAGAGACACCGAGAGAGAGGAAAGTGAGAAAGCAAGCCACCAGGTCCAGGACTTGAACCCTGGTCGGCCATGTGGGACTGTCCAGTGCCTTAACCACCACGCCACCTGCTGGCTCATGAATTTTGATACCTGCATGGCCAAGTTGTCTTTGCACCGTATCTGACACTCTACTTATTTTCAGACATAACCTATGGATATGGGTCAAATGATTTATTTGTTATTATTATTATTAACTTGACCAGAGAAAGGGGAAATGAGAAAGCTGCTAGGTCTGGGACTCGAACTGCGGTTGAGCCACGTGGGAGTCCAGTGCCTCAATCACCATGCCACTTGCCAGTCCCTCTAATCTTTTGTTTTTCTTTCTTTCTTTCTTTCTTTCTTTCTTTCTTTCTTTCTTTCTTTCTTTCTTTCTTTCTTTCTTTCTTTCTTTCTTCTTTCTTTCTTTCTTTCTTTCTTTCTTTCTTTCTTTCTTTCTTTTTTTAAAGAGATTTTTACTATAGGGTGCGTACACTTGCTAGAGAGAGACAGAAAGTGAGAACTGCCCCCCCACTTCCCCCGGGACAGATAGCCACGCAACAATCCCACAATCCCTTCCACAATCCAGTCTCCTCTTGGGATTTTGGGCACGCACACATATGTGCCTGGCGTGTTTTAAGCCGCTGGGTCCGGGACTCAAACCGTGGTCAACTATGTGGGAGTCCAGCAATATAATCCTTACACCATCTTCTGGGCCTTTTAACTCCCCTTCTTTTTTTTTTTTAAATTTTTTTTTTTTGGAGAGATTTTCACTATAGGGCGCGTGCGCTCGCCAGACAGACAGAGAGAGACATAGAGACAGAAAGCGAGAAATCACCCCCCCAGGGGGGATGGTCACGCCGCAATCCCTTCTCCTCCATTCTCCTCTCGGGATCTTGGGCACGCACGCACACGCGCCCGGCGTGAGTTTTAAGCCACCGGGTCCGGGACACGAACCGCGGTCAACTACGTGGGAGTCCAGAGACATAGCCATTACGCTAACTGCTGGTTCCCTTAACTCCACTTCTAAAAGTTGCCTGCAAAGGGATCAGCAGTTAGTGTACTGGTTATGTCACTGGACTCCCATGTAGTTGACTGCAGTTTGAGTCCCAGACCTGGTGGCTTAAACTCACACCTCTCGGTTTACTGTCTCTCTGTCTTTCTCTGTCTTTCTAGCGAGTGCACGCACCCTATAGCAAAAACCTTGGGGCGGGGGGGGGGGGAAGCTGCCTGCAAATGGGAAGTACTGACACCTGTTCTACTTTTGTAACTTGCCTGCTTCAACGGATTGCCAGTTTCTATAACTAGAGACGGTAACAGCTGCTCCTAGTTTCCTTTGTCTGCAACACCCGTAAACCCTGGCTATGATAGAGTCCAGACATGGGAGTGCGAGCTCCTCCAAGCCCACTGTTGTAATAATCCTGAGTTCTCCTACTCTGAGCGGTGCTTGGTTTCTCCACGGGCTGTTTCTGCAACACTACAAGAAGCAGGCCCAAGCTGGGCCAGGAGGTGGAAGGGTGGTTAAGGTGCTGGATTCCCACATGGCTGACGGTGGTTCAAGTCTCAGACCGGGTGGCTTGAAACTCACACTGGGCACATGTGTGTGCAGGCCCAAAGGAGAGTGGAGAAGGGACTGCGATGTGGCCATCTCCCCTGGAGGATGATTTATCACTTTCTCTGTCTCTCCAGTGAGCACACATGCTCTACAGAACAAAATTTCTGAAAAAATAATTTTAAAGAGAAAAAAGGCTGAGGCAAAGCAAGTGACGTAAACATTTTTTTTTTTTTTTGGAGAGGTTTTGCTATAGGGCACATGTGCTTGCCAGAAAAACAGAGAGAGATAGAGACAGAAAGTGAGAAATCACCCCCCCAGGGGTGATTTTATTTTCATCAAGATAAGTCTAAGTTGGGAACCAGCAGTTAGCATAATGGCTATGTTGCTGGACTCCCACGTAGTCGACCGCGGTTCGTGTCCCAGACCCGGTGGCTTAAAACTCACGCCAGGCGCATGTGCGTGCGTGCCCAAGATCCCGAGAGGAGAATGGAGGAGAAGGGATTGTGGTGTGACCATCCCCTCTGGGGGGTGATTTCTTGCTTTCTGTCTCTATGTCTCTCTCTGTCTGTCTGGCGAGCGCACGCGCCCTACAGTGAAAATCTCTCCAAAAAAAAAAAAAAAAAGATAAGTCTAAGTTTTATTTTCATCTTCCTCTCAATTGGGTAGAACACAATATCTTAGTTTCACTTTGACGATGTGACTGTTTGGGACAGCCGGTGGTGTGGCAATAAAGGTCACTGGATCCCACATGGCCAGCTATGTGGTTCCAGCATGAAGCATGGGGGCATGGAAAACATGGAGTTCACATTATGTGAGAGTCCCAGATCTCAAAACGAGAAATGGAGAAGGGATTGCAATGTGACTATTTTCCCTCAGGGAGGGCTTTTGGACTTTCCCCGTCTCTTACCTTCTATCTCTCTGGACTCTCTAAGGCAATAAACAAATACGAAATAGCAAACTGCATTCCTTCTTCTTCATTCTGATCTCAGAATTTTGGGCATGCATGCAAACATGCCCGCCATGTTTTTCAAGCTAGCAGGTCCGGGACTCAAACCACACCATCTGCCATGTGGTATCTAGCTACCTTAACCACCATACAACCTGAATGGCAAATTGTTCCTGTTAGCAGCATCACAGAGCATACACTACCTTGCTGGTATCCATTTTATTAAAATTTATTACTTTTTAAAAATTTTATTCATTCATTTATTTTACTTTGACCAGAGAGAGACACACACAGAGAGAAAGAGGGAAAGTGAGAAAGGAAGCCACCAAGTCTGGGACTTGAACCATGGTCAGCCATGTGGGAGTGTCCAGCACCTTAACCACCACGCCACCTGCTGATCCCATGTTGGTATCCACTTTTTATTTGTTATTTTATTTTTTAGGAGAGGTTTTTGCTATAGGATGTGCACTCGCCAGAAAGACAGAGACAGAAAGTGAGAAAGCACCCCCCAGAAGGGATGGCCACACCTCAATCCCTTCTCCTCCATTCTCCTCTTAGGATCTCGGACACACACACACACACACACACGTGCCCGGCATGAGTTTAAGCCACCAGGTCTGGGACTTGAACCACGGTTGACTGCATGGGCATCCAGCGACATAGCCATTATGCTAAATGCTGGTCCCACATAGGTTCAAAATTTGAAGATTAATTGTTGAAATAGTCAAAAAATTCATCGTAGCTTCCACCTCCAAAACTGCTTGTGTCAATCCATTATAGCCATCCCCACTTCCACTGTATCCACCACCACCGTGGCTGCCACCAAAGCCTCCATGACCACCACTGAAGTTTCTAGAATCACTTCTACCTCCTTAGCTGGAAGAAGCACTAGCCATCTGGTTTGGGCAAGGTTTTCCTTACTTCGCAGTCGCGGTCATTCATAGTATGGTATTTCTGAAAGACATTTTCTTTTTTAAGAATTATTTCATTGTATTTATTCATTCATTTATTTTAATTTGACCAGAGAGAAAGCAAACCGCTAGGTCCGGGCCTCGAGCCATGGTTGTCTATGGGAGTGTCCAGCACATTAACCACCATGCCACCTGCTGGTCCCCTGAATGACAATCTTATCCACAGTCATAATCACCAAAGATTACAAAAGCAAAGCCCCTCTTCTTGCTAGTGCCTCAGTCAGTCATAATTTCAACCACCTCAATTTTCCCATACTGTACAAAAGAATCTCTTAGGTGATGTTCTTCAGTGTCTTTTAATGATGTTTAATGCCACAAGCTCTTTTTCTTTTTTTAAGAAATATTTTATTTATCTTTATTTATTTATTTTTTAAAAATTTGACCAGAGAAGGACAGAGTGAAAGGGAGAGAGAGAGAGTGAGAAAGCAAGCCATCAGGTCTGGGACTTGAACTGTGGTCAGTCATGTGGGAGTCCAATACTCTTAACCACCACGCCATCTGCCGGCCCCATCACCAGCTCTTTTTCACAGTTAAGTGGGCATCTGGTCTTTGAGAATCTTCTTTGAGTTGGGCCTGGCTGAGGGTACCGATGCCAGCCAGTTGGCTAACTGAGGTGCTGCACTCTTTCTCTTAAAGGAGCAGCAAAGATAGTAACACCATTCCTTAAATTAAAGTGGGGGGTTGGAGCCAGCAGTTGGCATATTGGCTATGTCTCTGGACTCCCATGTAGTCTACCATGGTTTGAGTTCCGGACCCGGTGGCTTAAGCTCACACTGGGTGCATGTGCCTGCATGCCCAAGATCCCAAAGGTGAATGGAGAACGGATTGTGGCATGTCCATGCCCCCGGGGGTGATTTTTCACTTTCTGTCTCCTTCTGTCTTTCTGCCAAGTGCACATGCCTTATAGCAAAAACCCTTCTCCCCTCCCAACATTTTTTTTTCTTTTTTTTCT